TGGGCCTCCAGAAGACCTCTCGTCGCCACGGCTGGATCTGCATCGAAATTCTGGCCAGCGCGCGTCTGGATTCACCTCCAAATTCTGGTCAGCGCGCACCTCTGGCGAGATCAGTGGATCAATTTTGAGAGGCAGGAGGGTCAGGAGCTGCAGAGCCCTGAAAATCCCACCAGCCCTCTGGGCGCAGGTGGTCTAGGGCGGTTTCTCGTACAACCCCCTGCTTCCACTTTGAGTAGGGGCTTACCCCTCCATCTACCCCCTCCCTTGGACCTGGAGGGGGGGGGTCGTGAGGCGTTGGAGCGTCCAAGATGGCCCAAGATGGCTCCAAGAGGGCCTCAGAGAGCCCGATTGTCTGCCGAGGCCTCAAGATGGTTACAAGATGACCCATGAAGGCTCCAACAGAGGCCCAAGAGAGCCCCAAGATGGCCCCAAGAGCGCTCCATGAGGGGTTTAGGAAACGAAATTAGGCACTCTAGAAGGGCAGGGCTGGTTACCCCCCCTTGTTTGATCGATCTCCTCCAAGATGGGTCCAAGAAGGCGCCAAGAAGGCCCCAAGATGCCCCCAAGAGACTCCCAAGAGACCCCCAAAGAGGCCCCAAGAGGCTCCCCGAAACACCTAAGACGCTCCGAGGCGCCCCGGATCGCCAAGAGGCTCCCAAGACAGCCCAATAGGCCCCCAAGCTCGCCCTTTTCCTCTTTCTTTCCCTCTTTTTCTTTTTCCTCATCCTCCTCCTCCTCATCCGCCTGTTCCTCTGCCTCCCTCCTCCCTTCTCCCCCTTCCCATTCTCCTCCTCCTCTCCCTCCTCCTGCTCGCCCTCCTCCACTGTATCCTCCTCCTCCTCCTCCTCCTCGTCCTCTTCTTTTTTGTTTTCTTCTTCTGATGATTCCTCCTCCTCCTCCTCCGATTCCTCCTCCTTCCTCCCCCTCTTGGTGTACGACGGTTTCTCCAGCTTATTGTTCCTCTGCGTGCTCCCCCAGTTCTCTGATCAGAGCAACTCGCCTGGGCATCGTTTCTGGATGCCAGAGTAATAAATGGTGTTCGGCCTTCGGGGACCGCATTCGGGGTCGTGAACAAAAATCTACCCGGGACGGAAAGCTGAAGCCCGGGGAGGGGGTCGAGCGCTCTGGGGCTCGCGCATTGGGGAACTCAGGGCATCGGCGGTCTGGGCACCAAAACAGCAGTCGTTGAAAGAACATGACAGCGGCCGGATGAGGAACTCGCAGACGAAGTGTGCAATGAAGTGGACACGAGGCTCGCTGTGAGACCAGCCGCGCTCAGGCACTCCCCGGAGGCAGTCCTGGCTGGCCTCACCTGCCTGGCCCCCCACGGGCGGCTTCAGCACCCAGCGCGGCCTTCAGCGGCTCCCCCCTGGGGCGTTCCGCGCCACGAGGCCGGAGTCAGATTGGGCGTGTCCTCCTACAGGCGGATTTCGGACGAAAAATAAAACGTAGTCAAAGCATGCCCCAAAATGCTAAAACATACCCGAAAAATCGTCCCCGTATTATTTTTTTGCCTATCTTTGAATCTGCCTCCTGTGGAGGGACAGGCCCGACTTGAGGCTGGAGTGCTGAGATCTCCCCGAGCTGCTGGCGAGATTAGCTCCACGGGCCCACCGGCCCACAGGCCCAGACACCCGACGTCGTGGCTTCTTCGATGCCGCGGCCCCCAGAATCCTCGGTGCCTCCTGTCGGCGGCGAGCGGGGGCGGAAGTGAGTAGGAGAAGACCTTCTCAGAAGGTTCGAAAGTCCCCCAGCCTTCTCAGGCGTTTTCTGAGCCTTCCCCGAATGCACAACGAACGAACTTCTCAGAAAGCGCGAGGGCTGCTGAGAAGTCCCGCCGCCTTCTGAAAAAGGCCTTCTCCTTCTCATTTCCCCCCTCGCTCGCCGCCGATCCTAGGGGCCTCTTGCACGTCCCGGATGGACATTTGACGGTCCCGAGGCCCCCGAACAGCTCCCAGACAGACGCCGAAGCAGGAAACGACTTCCGCCTTATGTATATATAAAGACTGCGGAAGTCTGGGAGTACCTCTGGTGTCCGTCGGGGGGTATGGAGCCCCCTTTCGCAGCACGCCCTCTCGTGAAAATTGCCGGGGGCACTCCACGTACGTGCGCACGGCACAGCAGTCCGCGTGGACCCCAGCGGGGTAGCTAATCGACGTGGTAACGGGATGAATCCGGCGAGACGCACGCCGATTGATGAAACCGGCCGCGGACTGCACCAGCACACTCGAATGCCAATGCCGCGTGAACCGGTGCAGATTCCTCAGGCGACTTGTCTGGGTGGGCGTTCTCGCCGTGGCCAGCACTGGCTCTTACGCATGCAGTGGGGGCGAGGTGGGAGTGGACGTTGCTGGCCGACTCGCTCGGTCGGACAGCTCGACCCCTCCTCCTGCCCATATTCTTCTTCCTTTCCTGCTCACCCTCCTTTTACTTCTCCGCCCTCCTGGACCTGGAGAGGAAGGGAAGGAGGCACCCGCGTGAGCGGAAAACCGACTCGGGTAAGCTGGCCCAAAGGCGCTTCGCAGTGCAGCAACAGCTGAGGCTGGAGCCAAAACTGGAGCGCACAGGAATTGGAAAGGGCCTACCCTGCAGGTTCGGAACACACCACATCGTTGAGCGGTGGTGCGGCCTCCCCTGAGCACAAGCCCCTCCTGGAGCATCAGCCAAACGAGTCGGGCTTGCACCCTCACGCCTTGATGGGCTCCGAGCGCGTTTCGGCACTGCCATGGACCTGAAGAAGCACAAGGATACCGAAAACGCTGCTCCCCGGACCTCCGCGGATGCGTTCTTCGGCGGCGATCCTGGGGCGGGGGGCTCGGAGGCTCGGATGTTCCCCAGCCTTCTGAGAAGTTCTCCGAGCCTCCCCCGAAGACGCAGAGCACTGCTCAGACGGCGCGAGGGCTTCTGAGAAGTCCCGCCGCCTCCTGAGGAGGCCTTCTCCTTCTCATTTCCCCCCCTCGCTCTCTGCCGAGGTCTGACCAGAGCGAGGAGCCCAGAAAAGACGTACGCGCCTGACCACGTACATGAATACGGCCCTCCAATTCGCGAGGCCGACCGCGTGATACAAGCGTTCGCGCAATACATACTCCCGAAACCAACCTGGATTCATGTACGTGTGCAATGGGGGCCCGACTACAAAAAACCTTCCTCAAGAATCCCAATCCTGAGACCCCAAGACGTCCATGGATTTCTGGTGCGGGCACGTCTCGCCTTCCGCAGCAGAACCATGGAAACCCAAGAAACCCGGGGCACCCTGGAGGCAGGCAGGGTGTCTCTTGGCATGGGCCCCCACTGTACGTCCCTCTGCCGCTCCCGACAAGGCCGTGCCGGCCAGACACCGTCACCCGTCCGGGCGCCCCAGAGGTCCTCCAGAAGTGCTGCCCGTCGGGGCCCAGCTCGCCCATGGACCGCCTCGGGCACCGAGGAGGCGGGCGCCGCCGCCGCACCGCCCGAGCGGGGTTCACCGATCGCGATGCGGTCGGACTCGGACATGCTCGCGTCGCGACAACCATCAGGACGGGAGGTGTTTCGTCGCTTTCGGCCTCTTCGGCCTCTGGGGGCCCTCGCCAAGCCCTGGGACCGTGACAGAACTTCTCTGGATGAAAAACCGGCCCCAGGGGAAGGGGTCGGGACTTCCAGGGACCCCGTAATTACCGAGAATATCGGGACATTGCAAGTCTGGCAAGCTTGCACAACCATGGCCGGCCAGAGGGAGACAAACTCAGGATGCAAGGCCTTTTGTAGAGGCCTCCCAAGTGGGTCCGAGTGGATGGGGTCGGAGGATCGCGCTGCATCGCCGATGCATCGGCGATGGATCGGCGTCGTCGGCGATGCAGCGGCGACGTCAGCATGGAGAACATCGGGCTCCCTCGGACAAGAGGGCCCAACGGGCGTGTCCTCCTACAGGGGGATTTTGGAGGACAAATCAGACCTGGTAAACAGAACATGCCCCAAAATGGTAAATCAATCGCAGAAGAATCGTCCCCAGACTGTTTCTTGACTGTTCTTGCATATTCCCCCTGTAGAGGGACGTGCCCGACCGAACCCAAGGGGGGCGCTGCCAAATCCAACCAGAACCAGGGCGCGCGCGGCCGGGCCATGGGGGCCGCCGGGGAAGGGGGGAGGGAACGAGTGGGCTGGATGGAAAAAAGGAGCAGTGCGATGGGGCAACCAGCGATGGAAGGGTTCATGTGAGGATCAGGATGGCACTTGTCAGGGTGATGATGATAATGTGGATGATGATGGTGATGATGATGGTGATGATGATGCTGATGATGATGAGGAGGAGGAGGATGCTGATGATGCTGCTGCTGATGATGACGACGAGGTCTTCTTCTCTTCATCTAGAAGACACTTCTATTGCTGCGGCTGGGCTGAAGGGTTATAGCAATTTTGCAGGCGCCAGCAGCTGGATCCAGCCTCGAGGCCAAAAACGCATCTGAAAATATTGGAATCGAACGGAATACAATTGCCAGTCTTTAAACGGTGGGCTGGGCTGGGAGGCTTGGATACTCTTATTGCGTCAGGCGCTGGGGACACCAAATGACGTGGTGCCCACAATCATGTTTTTCATCTCTCAATTTGCAGAGGGTTCTTCTGTTGCCGTGCCAGGACTAGAGGGCTATACCACTTCCGGACGCAATCAGACATTAAGAGACGGGTCTCGCTCCAACGCTTTGGATCACAACGAGGCGGCCAGGGAGGAGAGGGAGAGAGGAACGACCACAACACCAGACGATCGCCTCATCATTAATGCTGATGATAATGCTTTAACGAGCGCTTCGGCCAGCTGAGGAAGCGAGCGCAGCTCCCTGATTTGCACACAAGACATTCTGTCTCGCCCCGCCGCCGACCAGTGGCCTTGCTTGCTCTGACATCGGCTCACCAGCGGGTAGGCCAAGGGCCCAATAGCCAGCGCCTCGCAGCGCCCTAAGGCCTAAGGCCATCCGCTTGCCCATGCGATGCCGCGACCCAAATCGCAGCGAGTCCCGCGACGAGCCATTGTTGCGCCACCGCCGCCTCGGCCCTCTCCGTCACCGCGGCCATCAAAGCACCGCTCGCGGGCCTAGACCACGAATGAGCATGAAAGAAATGGGTCCTGTGGGAAACGGGCCCTAGACCATATCGGACCTCCTCCCAAGACCAGGCTCATCCCGAGTCGCTTCCTGACAGTCCCGGGGCCCCTGGAGGGCCCCGAGTAGAGGAAGACCAAAAGGCATACACATAACTTTATGCGCTCCGCGCAGATTTCCTGGATCTGCGCTGGACCCCCCTCCCTGGCGCGCGGAGCGCGCCAGGGGCCGCGCTGGAGGCGCCGCCGGGGGCGCCCAGCGCGGATCCAAGACATCCGCGCGGAACGCCAAAACATAATGTTTATGCCGTTTTCTCTTCTTCGACCGAGGGCCCGAGGACGGAGAAACACCCCAGGGCCCGCTTCCCTCAGGACCCGACTCCTTCCCTGCGGTTCAAGAAAGGCAAGGCAGGGCGGCGCCGTGCCGCTGGGGCCTCGGCGGTTGGAGAAAAGAACACGCCAGCAGCGGGCGACGCAGCGCATGGGCAACGGCGGGCGGCCCGACCGTGTATCCCGGGCGCCGCCCGACCCACCTTGTGGCCCGCGAGCGCCCGCACGAGCTCCGCGCGGGCACCGCGCAGCGCCTCGCGCGCGAGGCCGCCGAGCGCTGGTGCACGGTCTTCTCGGGTCACGGCGCTGCCAGGGACACGGGCAAGCATGTGGGCGACGAGAAGGTACGGGTCTTTCGCCAGAGGGCATAACGACCACGGCGCGGCGGCTGACGCTAGCCGCCAGCGCGGAACTCTACACTGGAGGCGCGGGCTCTTGCGCGCGACCTTGCGCGGGCAGCTGTGTGGGTGAAAACGGCCCAATTTTCTTCCGTCGCTCATGTGGCGACGGGCGCTGGGGTCAGGATGGTCTGTTTTTGGTCAGCGGCGAGGGCGAGCGCACATCACGTTCTGGTAGCCAGCGGGCCGTGCCGAGACTACTGGCACACACAGCAAGCCAGGGGAAAGAGGGTGGCCGCGGAGGAGGAAAGCGGGAGGAAGCTTCTGGCGTTGAGTCGGGACAAGACAATCACGTGGTGCACAAATGCATGATGCCGACGACGGGGACGATGACGATGACGATGAAGATAGCGATGACGATGAGGAGGAGGACGAGGAGGAGGAGGAGGAGGAGGAGGAGGAGGAGGAGGAGGAGGAGGAGGAGAAGAAGGGGGAGGAGGAGGAGAAGGGGGAGGAGGAGCAGGAGGAGGAGGAGCAGGAGGAGGAGGATGGGATGGAAGGAGACGGGGGACGGGGGAAGAGTACATCATGAGAGGGAGGAAGAGGATGGACGCGGCGACGATGAAGGGGGATATGGGGAGGCGGGGAGGGGGAGGAGGCGGGAGGGGTGGACGACGAGGCCGAGGCGCGGTGCGGCGAGGCCAGAGGCGAGCCATTCTGCAAACAGCTCGCCCAACGATCCCTCGGCTGCGTGCAGCACGCTAAGACGAAGCCAGGACGAGGAGAAATTCGGGTGAGGACACATCTGCAACCTCTGAGATCTGGCGGCTCTGGAGGATGTCTCGGTCTCGGGTGCCGCGGCCTTCTCAGAACGTGCCGGAACGCTGTGCGAGCGTTCCAGCACGCTCTGAAGCGGATTTATCCTCGTCACAACCCCGTCCAACACATGAACGAGGAGGGGGACCAGCATGAAACAGAGGGGTCTCGGAGGAAAGGGGTCCTGGAGACTCGTTTCGCCATTGTCACCACCCTCCAGGAGAAGGGCCATGGGGCCGCCCGAAAACAACTTCGGGATATGAGAGGCCGGTCCCGAGAAAGATCTGGGGCCCAAGGGCCCGCTTACCGTTCGGCCCGTTTTATAAGGATGCGCGGTAAGGATGCCAGGGCCTTGGAAGGCCGTTTCGGAGCTTTTCGAGCGGGGCGCGGCCAGCGAAAGTGGTCAAGGATGGGCCGAGGAGGCAAGGATGCAAAGGTACCCTTGGGAAAGGTGCCCATCCTTACTACGCGGGTTGACTCTATTCCCGGCGCCCCGATTCCCTCGCGGCGAGGGGTGTCGGGGAGGACGAGGACGCCAGGCGCGCGGGGGGGTGCGAGACTCGGGGGTCGGCAACGGGGGGGGGGAGGGACGGACAGTAGGAGTTCGACCATAAGAAATGGTCCATAAGAAACTCAACCCTGAGACCCCAGGACCTCTGTTGGGTTTTGGTGTGGGAGCGTCACGCTTTCCATAGCAAAACCATCGAAACCCAAGAAACCCAGGGCACCCTGGGGGCAAGCATGGTGCTTCCTGGCATGGGTCTCCACTGGAAGGGGGAGGACTCCGCATGAAGGGCGGAGCAGAGACCCTGGGGACCCACAAGCTGTCCGCCGCTTTCGGCCCCCTGGGGCCGTCAAAAGAACGGCTCGGCACGGGGAGCTGGCACTGGGGAGGCCCCAGGGGTCTAGCACCCCGCCTTCCCTCTGGGGCCCCTCGCTCCACGGCGAGGGAGCAGGAGGAGCCGAGGGGGAGGTGAGGCTGGGTGGGGATGAAAAGTGGAGGAGGAGGAGGAGTGGGAGAAGGGGTTGGTGGAGTGTAGGGGAACACATATTGACACACACACACAGACGCAAAAACTCGGAGGCGCCGTCAGGGAAGGGGCTGCGGCTGAGCGGGCCGCTCGATGAAGTACCGAAGGTCCTCCACCTGTCGGCGCGTCATGGAGGTGTGGGTGTTGGCCCCCCTTACCTCGACCTCTATTCTGCCGGGAACAGGGAGCAGCGACAACGGCATACGTAAACATAAACATTCGGAGATCCGTGCGGATCGCTTGGGTCGGCACTGAATGCCCTGGCGCGCTCCGCGCGCCAGGGGCGGCGCCAGAGGCGTCGCTAGGGGGCGGGGCTAGCGCCGACCCAAGACGAAATCGCGCGGACCTCCGACAGTTTATGAATCCGCCGTCGGTTGTGATTCGTCTCCCACCATTCCTTTCTGCCACTTTTTCCCTCCTCCCTCCTCCCTATCCTCCTCCTCCTCCTCCTCCTCCTCCTCCTCCTCCTCCTCCTCTTCCTCCTCAAATATCTATCCTCCTCGCCTCCCCCTCCTCCTCCTCGTCCTCCTCCTCCTGCTCCTTCTCCTGCTCCTTCTCCTCCTCCTCCTCCGTCTACCGAGAGCTTTCCTATCCCCTCCCTCCCCCGGGCCCGTCCAGGAGCTCGTTCCGACCAGGATCTCAAAGCTGACCCGGCGGTGGCGACGAGACGGTCCTCAGAGGCACCGCGTAGCGTTCCCCAAACTTCTTGTTACGGTCGGGAGCTTTTGCTCAGCGTGTCGCCTCGGAGGCCCCGTCGACACGCTACACCCTGCAAGCGGATAGCGTGTCGCTCCGCCCCGCGGGGCTCGAGGCTAGAAAAAACGCGAGACATTGACGCCTAGGGGCCGAGAAGTGGATAGCGTGTCGCGCCAAACGCGGTGGGCCAGAATCGGCGGAACGACACCACGCTGTCTCAAGGTTCCGACCGTAATCAAAGGGGGGCGGCGAACGTGAAAACGCGGCGTGCCCAGCACACCCCCGCACCGCCCTTCGAATTCCCCCCCCCACGCACCCGCGCGGACGCTCTCATGCCTCCCCCCTGCATTTTAGAGGCCTCCTAGATGAGGTCGGAGTAGATGGGGTCGGAGGATCGCGCAGCATCGCCCATACATTGGCGATGCATCGGCGATGCGTCGGTGGTGCACCAGCGATGCTTCGTCGGCGTCGGCGATGCATCGGCGACGTCGACGTGAAGCAAATCGGGCCCCACATCGAGCCGCATCGCCGATGCATCGGCGATGTAGCGCGATCCTCCGGTCCCACCTACTCCGACCCCATCGAGGAGGCCTAGATCTCAGGCCCCCCCCCCCTGCATGCCAACTCTGGAGGCGATTGATCCCAACCCCCTCCCGAACACAGCGAGAAACCCAAGCCCCGCGCACACCCCCGCGGACGCGCTTCTCGGCGCGTCCCCCCCTCCCCGGGCCTTCAAAGGGGGGGAAGCGTCGGAGCTCCCAAAACCTCGATCTTCGAAGTTCGGGCCTCGACCCTGGAAGTGCGACCCCCCCCCTCCTTCGAGGAAGAAGAAACGCCATCAACAGAAACTTCGACTCGCCGCGCAGATTCATGGACCTGCGCTGGACCCCCCTCCCTGGCGCGCGGTGCGCGCCAGGGGCGGCGCCGGAGGCGCCGCCGGGGGAGCCCCGGCGCGGATCCAAGAAATCGGCGCGGAGCAGTTTAAGTTTATGTTTATAGCGTTGCTCCTTCTTTGACGCTCTGATTTTGTTCACCATGTGGGCCCCCAGAGGTCTGGATCCCCTCCCGGGGACTGGCTTGAGCCGCTTCTTGATGGTCCCGAGGCCTGGCAAGGGGCCCCGGAGGCCGAAAATAGTGAGGCAGAAACCTGCGTCGTGGTCTTCATGGCCCGAAGGATCAGGGCCCTCCTCCCGAGGGCGTCCTCCCCTCCGAGGCGCTCCCGAAGCGCCTGTATGGTGCACTGCTCGGTCGGGACGCCCTCCTTGGCGCCCCAGTCGAGGACGCACTGGCGGATGCGCCGGAAGCCGGCGAGCGCGTCCTCCTGGGCGGGGAGGCACATCCAGACTCCATCGCGTAAAGGCTCCAGCAGCGATGTGATCTGTGGGTGAAGCTTCGGGCTGCGCACAGACAACCCCCCAGGCAGTCCCAGCTGGCAGCAGCGGGCCCCCCGAGTAGTCCTGGGCGGTCTCAACACCCTGGCGCCGCCTCCGCCAACGAAAGTGGCCAAGGATGGACCGAGGAGGCAAGGATGCAGGGGCACCCGTGGGAAGGTTGCCCATCCTTACCATGCGGGTCGACTGTACTCAGGGGGCCTGTGGAGGCCAGCCAGGACTGCCTGGGGAAGGGCTCGCCAAGTAGCGATGTGATTGGTTTGGTCCTTTTTCGGCCCCTGGGGGCCCTCACTGTAGGCCAGGGACCGTCAATCATCTTCCCAAGATGTAAAGCTGTCTCGGGAAAGGACTCTGATCCCCAGGGGCCCACGCCAGGGGAGATGGGGAGGCGCAGGGTGACGAAGGGCGCGCGCGATGCTTAAACTGTACGCTCTTCGGCAGCTTTGGTCTCCTCTTCCCTGCCCCCTCCTTGCAAGGTAGTGTCCCCCCCTCCCCCTCCTCCCCATCCAGCCATCTCCGTCTTCGTCTTCGTCTTCGCTTCTTCTCCTCTTTCTTCTTCTTCTTCTTGTTCCCCTTCCTCCCCCTCCTCCCCCTGTTCTACCTATCGTACCTCCTCAGGGCTTTCCCCAAAAGCTTCGGGCGCAGCCGAACGGGCTGCATGTCTGAAGCCTGTCTAGTTTCGTCATCGGCACCGTCGTGTGGCTGTTCCTGTTCCTGCTGCTGCTGCTGCTCTTCCTCCACTGCCTCTTCATCCTCCCTCTCATCCCCCGGTCTCCCCCCCGCCTCTGGGGGACCCACAAGATACCGATACTGCCACTCCCTGGACCTCTCCTGGGGTGTTCCGACTAGAATCGCGAGGCGAATCCAGCCGTGGCTACGAGCAAGAAGGCGAAAACGGGGAGAAGGCAGCGGCATCGGTGCCTTTTTCCCTCATAGCGTTTCGCTGGAGACTTGCTCGCAATTGATTCAGGGATCGTGCTCTCGCAGCCATGCCAGCCACGCTTTTGGCCTGGACCGCCGCGATCCCTGGTAAAACATGCCCTGTTGTGCACATGGCCGTGTCTCGACACCCTCTTCCTCGACCCGCCTCTTCACCTTTGCTGCTCAGGGTTTGATCCCCCTCTGACCCCCCTATCTCTCCAGTCCTCCATGCCTCCTGGCCTGGCCAACCGCACCTAGGACAAAAGAACCTCCGTCAAGAACATGAGACACTCCGCCAGCCAGAACACACAGAACACCCAAGGGCACGTTCCCAAAGGACGCACCAGAAAATCAAACAAATACGAAGAACAGGAGGGTACCCTCCCCGAACCGACTTCGATCGCATACCTCGGTCCGACAGTCTCCCTGCCGCCTCCCCCCGCGCGCGCGCCTGGGCGGGCGACAACAGGCTCCGCTGCGTACCGCAGGCCCGGAGGATCTCCTCCATGCCGCGCCAGAACTGCAGGAAGCCCACCACCCCCGTGGAGTCCGGCTGCATGTAAATCTGGACGACCTCATCCACCGAGTGCCCGTTCAGGGCGCTCACCTGAGTTGGGAAGACGTCGCAGACTAGTGTTCGGGGGGCTCTCGGGTGGCCTGACCGGTGTCATCGTGAAAACGACGAGGCCAAATCTGAAATATGACGCGAGCTCCCGCTGCAGACGTCCCACGAAAACCGGGCCGTCAAAATCCGCTGCCCCGTCTGAGGGGAACCCTGAGGTCCGGGTGTTGCCATTCCCTTAATAATAGCGTTTGACTGACGAGGGGTCTAATACAAATTTTTGTTTGCAACGTAGGTATATATGCATACACAAACAAAAACGCAGAAAAGCTCCGCAAGGGAAACGCGGAGCCCTAGACCGCTGAGTCTGGCAGCCGTTCCACCCCGGACTTCCTCACAATTCATTCAGGACTCGGGCTCTCGCCACAATGCCTTTAAATAATACACTACGGTGCACATGGCCGTGCTCTCACCCCTGCTCCGGCTGCTCTCGCCTCACCCCCGCCTCTTCATCTTTGCTGCTATTGGGGTGCCTTGCTGGGGTGATTTTACGCACTGGGCCCAGGGACCATCACAGATCGATCTGGGTCGACAAATGCAGCAGGAGGCTGGGGCCTGGGGCTCTGGTCGCGATGTTTCGCTCGGGAGGAGGAGGAGGAGGAGGAGGAGGAGGAGGAGGAGAGGAGGAGGAGGAGGAGGAGGGGGAGGGGAGGGGGAGGGGGAGGGGGAGGGGGGGAGGGGAGGAGGAGAGGGGAGGAGGAGAGGAGGAGGAGGAGGAGGAGGAGGAGGAGGAGGAGGAGGAGGAGGAGGCCTGCGCGGCACACCGCCCGCGGACTCGTCAGCGCAGCACGCGGCGGGCTCGTGCCGTGACGACGTGCGCGCTGGCTGACCGACACCGCGTGGGCTCTTCCGCCCGGAGCGGCCGCGGCTTTCCGCTAGGCGGCGCGCAGATGGGGGGTAGCGGGGGGGGCGAAAGCTTCTTAGAAGGCGTCTTAGAAGGCGCCAGCCTTACGCCTGCAGGGGTGCTGCCAAGAAGTCTCCCCCCCTCCCCCTATCCCCATCTGCGCGTGGCTGACCCACACCGCGTGGACCCTTCCGCCCGGAACGACCGCGGCTTTCCGCTAGTCGGGGATCTGCTAACCCTGGTCAATCCAGACCCGGGCCAGTCGGGCCTTGCAGGATCCTGCAAGATCCTGCACCCAAGCCCGGGTCAATGCGAAGGATCCTGCAGGATCCTGCTGGATCCTGCACCCGAGCACGGGTCAGTGCGACCCTGGCCCTGCAGGATCCTGCAAGATCTGGCGCTCTGGCTGATCCCCGTTTGCATTGAACCCCGTCGTGAGGCTCCCGAGCTAGCGCAGATCGTTCGATACCGGCAGAAGCTTTGGCCACCGGCGGGGCCGAGCCCCGAGAACGCCCGCGCCCGGGTCGCCGCGCCGCGCCAGGGCACAGCGTGGTCCTGCCATGCGCGCGGGGGCCTCGCGCGCGCAGCCTGCGCGCGAGGGTCTCCTGCGGCCTGCCGCGTTTTATTGTTTTTTTGGTTTGTGTGTGTGTGTGTGTTTGATTCCTCCTGCATGGTGGTACAATTCGCTACAACGGTACCTCCGTTTAGGCAGCTCATCGCCAGCGCAATTGTCCTGCCTCGCCGCCGATGCAAACAACAACATGTGCTGGTTTTTGTTAATGCCGCTCGCCTTGTTCTGCAGCTGCCCCCCCAGGACCTCCTTCACCCTGTCTGCCGCGATCACGCCATCGCCTCCCTGCGCCTCGCTGCTGGCGGGGGCGAACTGGCGCCACAGGCGGACGATGGCGCGCGTCGAATCCATCAGCCGCGACCGAGGCGTCGCGGGGTGACCATCGGGCCTCGTCGAAGCCGAAACGGCGCCGCGGCGTGGGCGATTGGTCGCCCTGACGAGCTCGACCGGGGCGGCGAGAAGGCAGAGGTGGGCAGAAGACGAGACAGGCATAAGCAGGAGCATCCAGGAAAAAACTGCATGACGCGCTAATGATGTGCAGAGACCGGCGCGGTGGCACGATCACCCAGAAGTTCCACTGCAGAGGTGCGCAGGCGGAGCAAGAGAAGAAGGCACAGGATGAGCAGAAGGGGCCTGCCGCGACGGAAGGCTGCCTGGCGTCACGGCGCTGCGCCATCACGCCAGGCGCATACATGAACCAGGTGCATGCAAATCATATTGAACGCCCGGAGGCCTCTACGATGCTGATCGAAATGTGGCGTGATCACCAAGCATCGAACAAATGTGCCTTACGACCACCACTACCGCGCTCACTCTCTCCCTCTCTACATACATCTGTACATATACAGTCGATCACGACTAATTACAGATATGGGGTTTGTGTCTACGCAGGCATATTTGCCATATCTGTAAGTTAGCCCGCGCCGACCCCGCACAGTGTGGTTCTTACGATATTCAAATATACATATACATAGATCGTGTGCAGTCTTTGCGGGGCAATATATGTTGTGGCATATAAGTGGTGAGATCGAAAGTGTTCAGTCTATGTTGTGCAATTTATGTTGTGCCATGTGTGGGGTGCCATATATGCGGTGCCATCTATGTGCAGCAATGTATGTGGTGCAATCTATGTGGTGCGCAAGATATGCGGTGGACTCGACGCGGTGCAACCTACATGGTGCAACACAGTATGTGTTACCTGTGGAGTGCAAAAATGCGTTGCACTATCTATATATACACTCCACATGCACGGTGCACTCGATACATATATATATATATATATGCGATGTGGTCGTCGTCTTCTTCATCATCATCGTCATACTCATCCTCATCAGCATCCTCATCCAGATCCTCATCATCATCCTCATCATCAGCATCCTCATCACCATTCTCATCATCATCCTCATCCTCATCCTCATCCTCCTCATCCTCATCCTCATCAACAGCATCATCTCTTCATCGTCATCATCATCATCATCATCATCACCATCATCATCATCATCATCATCATCATCGTCATCATCATCATCATCATCATCATCATCATCATCATCATTGTCATCGTCATCGTCATCATCGTCATCGCCCGTCATGATCATCGTCATCGTCATGGTCATCGCTGCTGTTCCAGGCCGACCCCGCCGGGCGCGCCCAAAATGGGAGGCCCTCCTGCAGGGGGCCGCCGCTCCAGGCCTACCAGGGCCGCCGCCAGCTCGCCCAGCTCCGCGCGCACAGCCGCGCGGGCGGTAGCGACGAGCGGGCCCGACGCGCCCGCCTCGGGCGGCGCCCTTGTCGCCGTGCCGAGGCGGCCTGCGCACGGACAGGCGCCGCCCCGCTCTTGTTCTCCTCTTGCCCTCGGGGGTTTCGAGCTCCTCGGGCTGAGCTCTCCGCAAGCGGCCTTGCCTGGAGGGCCGACGGCCCATCCGCGACCATCGCGGGACATCGACCCGCCGAGCTGGAAGATCTGGGGGGCTCTGCGCGTCCGGTATCGGACCTGCCAAAGCCTCGGGGAGGACACACGCTTGAGCCCAAATGGCTGCGGGTTGGCCTTCTCGTAGTTCGTGTCGGCACGAAGCTAGGAGCGGTGCTGCTCACCTGTCCCCGGCGCGAGGCGTCGCAGCAAATGCCGGAGGCAGATGGTGACGAGAGATGACAGGGGAGCGCGCAGCCAGGGTCAAGCGCTGGGCTTTGGTCTCCTTCGCCACCTCCTTCTTCAACCTGCTGCACCTGTTTTGCCACATCCCCCGCGTCATGTAGTCTCCCTGGTGTTCACCGCCCGCAGGGCCATGGCTTTCGCACCACCGCTGGCCCATCCACTTGGAACGCTTGGCCCAAGCCGCATTCGCATACAGATATCGTACTCATTTTTCATCTCCGCCCTCTTCCTCCGCCTCCTCCTCCTCCTCGCTGACCTCCTCGTCCTTCTCCCCCTCCTCCTCCTCGCCGATTGCAGTTTTTGGTGACTTGGAGGCACCACCCAACGATTGAGGGCGCACACGACATTTCTCTGCATATAGAATGCCAAAAGTGAGACTTGGAAATGGGTACCAACATCAACACAGGGGTTGCCTTCAACCGGAGGGAGATGAGCCAAATTTTGGTGTTGGTGGTATTATTTCGGCCACCTAGGAAGCCCAAACATTGCCACCATCGCCGAGATCGGGATTATCTTCCCTTGGTGGAGGCGCACCGCCGATGTTGGTGTTGGTGCCATCCCTTGGGCCTGCTGGCAAAAGACTGGACGCAGAGCGCTGGCGCGCCTAGAAGGAGCGAAGAGACCGCGCGTCAGACACAGGCCTGGGCCATCATCCCATGCGTTTGTCGCCAAGCGGAACTTGATGAACGAACAGCACATACACCCATATCAGTAGGGGGGTCGGAGGGAGGATGACTGGCTATGGGTGTAGGGCAGCGAGATCTGTCCATACCCACTGCCCAGGCCTGGCCATTCCTGGGCCCAAGAGCGGTGCATATGCCTCCCTGGCCAGGCCAGGAGGGCGTATACACCGCTGCTGGGCCCAGGATGGGCCAGGTCTGGGGCGGTGCCCAGGTACAGATCTCGTCGCCCTGGGGCGGGTGCGGGTTGTCGGACCCCAGAAGGGGGGCTCCTTTTCGAGCGGGGACCCCCATCCGACAACACGCGCCCACAGCCCCCTCCGTCCCCCCATGGATGTGGGTGAGTGTTGTTCGCTCGTCAAAATTAAGTGTCTGCAACCGAAGGGGCGGATGTGCATCTCGTGCAATTCGGGGTCGTGGGCGCTGCAGCCCAAGGCTTCTCCTCCTAGAGGGTCATGCTGTTGCGCTGGACACACTCTTCCGAAGGCATCGCCTCCTCCGTGTGGTCATCCTCTCCTAACAGCCCCCCCACCGCAAACCCAGCACGTCCGAGGTGCTTCACATAGAAGTTCAAGTACTGGGACCCGTCGTGCGTGAGCCCATGGGCAACCTTCACTTCCAACTTCCCCAGATGCTCCCACTTCGGGTTTCCGTCGCCCGCATCACGCGCGTGGAAATGCAAGCCACCGGTTCGCTTAATCTCCGCCCACGCACCTGTAATGTTCAATTCTTCGAAATACATGTCTGTGCATTGCACGCCCAATTGAACCGCGTCAGCTTGGACTCGAAGCAACGTCCTGTCGGCACTCTCGTCCCGTGGAATCTGGATCAAGGTGTGCTTGCCAGGCTTCATCAAATCGAACCGTTCACCGTAGACGTTTTGCAAATGTGGGTCGCCTGTGGCAGCTGCGGATCCACCGGCGCCTCCCGCCATGGGGGCCCCAGCAGGAAACGTTGGGTGTGGCGTCGGCCACCCTGGAGGAAACGTTGGGGACGGCGTGGGGCTTGGCGTCGGGAACGGCGTCGGATAAGCCGTCGGGTAGGCCGTCGGGTAGGCCGTCGGGTATGCCGTCGGGTAAGACGTCGGATACGGCGTTGGGTACGCCGTCGGGTAAGGCGACGGATACGGCGTCGGGTACGGAGTCGGGTACGGCGTCGGGTACGGCGTCGGGTCGGGTGTCGGGTACGGCGTCGGGTAGGGTGTCGGGTATGGCGTCGGGGATGGCGTCGGCGACGTAAGGGCGCCCCAGAAGTAGTACCGCTCCCCCCACTCATTCTCGTTGATGCAGCTGTCGCCGAAGAAGTAGACGCCCGTGTTCACGTGCGTGCGGTGGAAGTGGCCCCAGGCGTTGCCGTATTCCCAACCCCCAGCGTTGCACGCGCTGTGCACGTCGGCCTCCCTCTTGAGCCCGAAGTGCGACGAGCCATAGCATCCGCCGCGTCCACCGTGCCAGTAGTAGTTGCTTCCGAGGCTGTTGCCGCCGCAATTGCAGCTCGTGCACGTGTTGTCGAAACCCGAGGTACTCAAGGTCCAGTAGTGCTCAACTGCATATCCAGATGCGGTAGTGATGCGCATACCAGTCATGCCGATACTCTGGAGCTGCGACCCAGTGTATCCGATCCGATAGTCCGACCAAGTGTAGCTGCTCTCGCTTCCGTACGTGGAGCCCCAGGAGAAGTCACCGATGTTAGTATTACCCAAGGTAGAGCTGAGCAGCAACGTCCAGGAAGTGGCAGACTCCGAGGAAATGTTGGTGCGCATCTGCGTTCCGATGGCGACCACGGTGGGTATGCTACGGCAAAACAGAACCACCAACCACTTTGTCGGGTTTGCCAGGCTCACCGTCCAGGCTCCCATCTCACCCTGTGGAGAGGTAGCGAAATGCTGGCCTGAGGTACTGTAGTGTGGTGTGGTACAATAATTATTGAGCCAAGTTTCTACTGAGAGATCACGCGCGGCAATTCAATATTCTTCGACAGTTCGACGCAGTACCAAAGAAACAACCCTTTGAGAAACTGGCGAGTCTCTCAAGAAATTACCCAGAAACGTTACCATCCACTAAACCAGCGAGCCAACAATGACCGGTGCTCTCCACCTCCTCAGGGCCTCGGTCCACCGACATGTTTTCCAAAGAGTCCCTCTCACATGAGCCAACACGCTTGTTGCAGCTGGGATGGCTTGGCCAACGCTGAATACTCAGACGGCACTGGCATTGGCCTCTTGGGGGCTCCATATTATTTTGTACCTGTCTCCACCGAGTTTTCCTCTATCCCAAACGAAGCTTTGATTAAGGGTTCTGATGTGTTTTCCTCAATTGCCTCGGGTTTCTGGATTGTTCTGTGAAAAACAAGTTTTTGCCAGGTCGATCTAATCAAGCGGCCCTCGGCCTCCTATGGTTCCCTGGTCTTGTTGTGTAATTTTCTTCCTCGGGCTCCCCGGTTCTGTCCCCTGGAATATCCAATCTTATTCCTTGACGGGTTCTCCGATCCTGGTCTTACCCGATTCCCCGAACGTGTTCCTCGCCTTCCTTCGTATGCCATGCCAAGCAATGCCAAGCAACGCCAAGCAACACCAACCAATGCAAATCCACGTCCTCATTACGTCAAAGGGTTCCCTTTGTCCCTTCCCCGGCGGGGGGTGAGGGGGGGCCCGGGGGGGGGGGGGGGGTCAGATTCACATCGCCTCTGGGGGTCCTTCTCTCCCACGCCAGTCCTTCTCCGGCGCGCCGGTCCTCCTCGGGTCCTCCTCCCCGGGTGGGGAGGAGTCCCAGGGGGGGAGGGGAGTCAGATACGCATCCGTCCCTGGGGGTCCTCGTCTCCCCTCTCCCACGCCGGTCCTCCTCTGGTCCTCCTCCCCAAGAGGGGAGGGCCCAGTGGGGAGTCCTTTTCCTCCTCCTTCGCCTGCTCCTCCTCCTCCTCCTCCTCCTCTTCCTCCTCCTCCTTATCTCCGCCTCCTCCTCCTCCTCCTTCTCCTCCTCCCCCCCTCCTGGTCGTCGTCGATGTCCTTCAGGGTCGGTGGCACCGGCCGTCGGGCCTTCACAATCAAACACCCCCTACGGGAGGGATCGCCTTGCGTCAGCAACTCCTTTATTTGAGTTGTGTCGAAAATGACTGGAGCCAAGTTTGAGGCGTTTCGCTCTGGGCATTCTCGGGATTTGCCTGGTGTGGCTACTGGTTTGGCCTGGTTCGGTTTGGCATGGCCTGGTTTGGCAGAGCGCCACGCTGGAGACATCCTCAGAATTTGCCTGGTTTGGGCCCTGGTTTGGCATGGTTTGGGGCCGGTTTCGCATGAGACGTCCTCGCAATTTGCCTGGCTTGGCCTGGTTCCTGTGCGGCTTCGTCTGGGCCGTCCTCGCAATTTGCCTGGCTTGTCATGGTGCCAGCGCGATCTGGCTTGAGATGTCCTCTCATTTTGCCTGGTTTGGCCTGGTCTGGGCGCGGTTTCGCTTGATACCTCCTCACGATCTCGCTGGTTGGGCCTGGCTTGGGCGCGGTTTTGCCAGAAAATCCTTGCGATTCGCCTGGTTTTGCCAAGTTTGCGCGCGGTTTCGCTTGAGACGTCCCCACAACCGGTTTGATTTGTTGAGATTCGGGCTGGGCTTCTCCTACGGCATCTTCACAAACGGCATGGCTTAATGCGCTTCGGGCGACATGGCGGTAAAAGTCCTCTCGAGTTGGCGGCCGGGGCCGCAAAAAGCACTGAGCGAAGCGCCGCTCAGAAGATCGCGGGTGCACGCGATGCGATGCAAGCTGCGTGGTGCAAGCATGTGCAAGCAATGTGGGGGCACGCTACGCGGTGTAAACCAGGTGGTGCAAACTATGTGGCGCAAGCTACGAGGTACAATATATGTGGAACAAGCCATGGGGTGTAAGCTATGTGGTGTAAGATATGTCGTAGAAACTCACATCGTCTTGCTCTCACTAGCATACGGCCGGATGCCATGCCAACTCATGATTATGTATGTGTACATTCGGCCGCATTTGAACGTGTATACATGCACATGCGACTGCGTCACGGTGCAATGCCATTGGCGTGCAGCATGGCCGCACTGCAAAACTATTATTCATCGTTGCGGATTGCACCCTTGAACGCGATGGCGCATGCATCGCACATGCACGTCATCTCATTTTACATGTGACGCTCTTGTCCGCCTGATAGCTCGGTTCAAGCTGCGGCATCACTCGAACAAACAACTCTTGGCTAATCTATTGGGCCCTGTTCCCATCGGGGTCGCCGCTTGCACCGCTACTCTATTGACATCGCCGCAACGCCGCCTCAGAGGCGGTCAGCTTGCGTCGGGGGCCACGGGTGCACCTGGCCTGTTAAACAAGTTGCGGGCTCCACAACGCTCGAGAGGGGGTGGGGTCGCCAGAGCTCTGGCGAGGGGGGACTTGATGTGCTTCGGGCCAGGGCGAGATGGCGAGCAGAAGCTCAGCGTGGAGGTGGAAGAGTGGGGCGAGGTGGGCTCGAACATGAGCGGGGCGAATGGGAGGTCCTCCCTTTGCTCCCGTTTACTGTGGATAGGAGGTGCGTGCGATTATGCGATTTCTGCAGACAGATCTTGCAGACTATACAGAGACGGCGCGCGGAAGCACGGGCAACATACTTGGCATTGAAAACGAAGCTGCTGGATCAAGCCCAGCGCGATGAATATTACAGTGGTTCAGCGCAGGCTGCTTCCCCTGAGGGGTGCACAAAGAAAGCACAGACACACAAAAACACATAGACATATACACGCACACGCCGCACACACACACACACACACACACACATACACGGACACCCACACACACACGCAAGCACGCACCCTCATATAAAACACTCACAAACATAACACACAACACACAGACACACACACACATAGAAAGACACGTACACACACGCACGCACGCACGCATGCGCAGACACAAACACAGGCACACACACACGCACTCGCACACACAACACACACATACACACATACTCATACAGGCACACACACACCAACACGTTTTCGGGCGATCGCGGACTTGCGCGCAACGACGAGGCGGAGAAATAGCATCCGAACGGAGTAGAATAGCGCGCGGCCGACCTCTCAGAAGATGGGGCAAGGATCCAATCACATCAACCATGCCATACGCATACCCGGGCATGGACAGCGAGGGTAGGAAGCAGCCAGGGTGGCAGGGTGCAAGTGAAGGTGCAGCAAAGCCAGATGGCAACGACGAGTGGAGAAGGAAGGGAAATGGGGGACACTACAGGCAGGCAAGCGGCGTAGGGGCTGGGAGGGCAGTGTCCGGCTAAGGGTAAGGCAGGACGCAGTGCGAGGAGCCGCGTGCGATGGCAAGCAAACACAAACACGCACACGCGATCACTCTCAGAGACACACAGACGCAAACACAAACAGACACATACACACAATACAAACACGCACCACACACAACACACACACATACACGCACTCGCACCACACACACACACACTCGCACACACACAGACACACAAAGCACACACACACACCCGCGCACACTCACACACACAAGCACAACCCATAACACACACCACACACACACACACACACGCACAACACACACAACACACACACGGACGCACTGGCACACACACACCACACATACACACGCACTCGCACAACCAATACACACTCGCACACACAGACACACACACACACATACACATCAAGTACACCACACAGCACACACCCAGCACACACACACACACACACGCACAACACACAACACACGTACACTCACGAACGCACTCACACACAACACACACACATACACACACTTGAGCACACACACACGCACTCGCACGCACGCACACACACTCAAAAAACACACACACACACCAAACACGCATACTCGCACACACAGACACACACACGAACGCACTCGCACACACACCATACACACGCACTCGCACATACAGACAGACATACACACACACACACGCACTTGCACACACAATTCACACACGACACACACATACACACCACGCACTCAAGCATTCGAACGCACAAACACACACACACTCGCACTCGCGCACACACAAGCCACACACACGCTCTCGCACACACACACACACACGCAACAAACACACTCGCACACACAGTCATACACGCACTCGCACACACACAAACACATAACACACAGCACACACACAAACACGCAAACGCACGCACGCACACACACACACACACACACACACGCACCCGAACACACACACAAACACACAAACCCGCACTCACACACAGACACACACACACACGCACTCGCACACACACAGACACACACACACGCGCACTCGCACACACACACACTACCTACATTCATTCACGCACACACACACACACGCACAGGAGAAAGGACACACACACACAAACGCGCACACACACATACACACACGCACTCGCGCACACACACACACACGCACTCGCACACACACACACACGCACTCTCACACACACTCATACACAGACATGCACACATGCACACACCCGCACACTCACGCACGCACTCGCACATACACAGACACACGCACTCGCACACGCAAGCACACACACACACACGCACTCGCACACACACACACTCGCTCACTCACACGCACACACACACTCGCACACATGCAAACACAAACACACGCACTCGCACACATACACGCACACGTACTCGCAGACACATACTCACTCGCACACACACACAGACGCACTCGCACTCGCACACACACAGACACACACACACACACGCACTCGCACAAACACGCACACACACACACACACGCACACGCACACGCACACTCCACTCGGAAAGGGACCGGCGAAGCATGGCAGCAGCTACCCCGAGCTCCGTAACAAGCGCTGGGGTTAACTCAATTCCTGCTGGGCATCTTCGAGTCGGCCCCTGCCGCGGGCAACAGCAACGCCACGGGGCACACTCCAACCCTTGGCGCGGTGCGCCGCCGTGTCCAGACTGTCACCCCGTCGGGGGAGGGGCGCGTTTATTACCGAACGCAAACTACGGTGAGACGAATCGCCACGCGCAAGACTCGAGTAATTAGGAGAACGACTGCAGCATCGATTTGCACAGAAGCTGATTTGTTCGTTGCCTCTACGGCACAGACGCAGAACGCCAGAAGACCTTTGAACAGCACACGACTTTTTGAGATTCGACGATCATGTCAATGTTCGGGTGAACCAATTCTTCAGTCGATCTCCTACTGGAGATTAGAGGCCTGGAAATGGGCACCAACACCAACACAGGGGGTTGCCTCAACAAGGGGAAGATGATCCTAGATTTCGGTGTTGGTGGTAATATATCGGCCACCTTGGAAGCCAGAATACTACCACCATCGCCGAGATCGGGATCTTCTTCCCTCCGTGGAGGCACACCGCCGAAATTGGTGTTGGTGTCAACCTCTAGGCCTGCCAGGAGAGAATATCCTACTCAGTACCTTCAGCACCTGCGGCGGCTACAGCCGACAAGGCCTCCTCGGCCCGGCGCGCCCGGGCCTCGAGCTCCGCGGGCGAGTGCTCGCCACCGGCCGCGCACCGCCAGTAGGCCGGCACGTCCTGGGGCGCGACCTCTCGCAGGAGGCGCACAGCAGCGCCCTTCCCGCCCGGAGGCTCCATCCCAGGCCCCGGCATTGGGGGAAGGAGAAGTGGCGTAAACATAAGAACTCGGAGGTCCGCGCGGATTTCTCGGATCGGCGCTGGGGCCCCCCGGCGGCGCCTCCGGCGCCGCCCCTGCCGCGCTCCGCGCGCCAGGGAGGGGGGTCCAGCGCGGATCCGAGAAATCCGCCCGGACCTCCGAGTTCTTATGTTTATGCCACTTTTTGTTCCCCTAGGCATGGTGTGCACGCCCTCCTGGTCGAGACCAGGCGGGGTCTACGTCGGGCTCGTATCGTGCCAACTTCGGCGCTGGTTTTTCTCACACCGCGGGGATCGTTCAACCTTGAACGATCGGCCGTTTCCGAAACGTCCAAATCGTTCCACATCGAACGATTCTTGATCGCCCGCGGCGTTCAGAGTTGAACGCCGCTGGCGGGGTCGCCTCTGGTCGACACGACACCAACCTACCGTACACACCATCTTGGGGCCTGGGATGGCCCTGGCCAGCACGGCGGTGGTGCAGAGCGTACTCCTGCGAAGACCTCTATGGGTATGGTGTCTGCGGCCTTCCTCTGATCGGGCAGGGTGATCATCGCGTCGTGGTGCACCCACGCCCTCTTCGGGGAACGAATCATGACATGACCATCGAACTCCGAGGTCCGCGCGGATTTTTGGGATCGGCGCTGGCGCGGAGCTCCCCAAATATGAATGTTTAATTGCGTCTCTCTCCGCTCCCCGGCCTCACGCCCCACTTCAGCTGCTGCGACTCCGCGGCATGGGGCCGCAGCGAGGTGCCCACGTGCCGGCGGGCCACCCAGAACTCCGCCGGGGTGCTCTGCGTCCGGGCCAGCAGCGTGGGCGCCGGAGCGCGCGCCGCCGCGGGCTCCGTCGCCGCGCGCCCCGCCTCGGGGGGAGCCGATGCCGCCACTCCCCAGGACCTTCGGCTGTGGACAGACCTCCCTTTAGTAAACCTCCCTTCAGTGAAAGCGGCCTGGGGCCGAAACCGAGGGGCCTGGACCCGCAAAAATGACGGCCGCGACGCCCCCTCGCGAACTCAAAACAGCCAATTCACTAATCGACGTGTCAGGGTAGGAGGTCTATCCACCTCCGAGACCTCTCCCGGGGCGCATCCTGACCAGGCTCTCGAGGCGGATCTGGCGGTGGCGACGAGGGCCGCCCAGGAGGCCAGCAGCAGCAAAGGCGAAGAGGCGCGTCGAGGAGCAGTATTCCTAATGCCTCTCAGGCGTGACACGGCCATGCGGACCGTAATTCATTTTGTGCAAAAGGTCGGGCCGTCGGGGGCAAAAATGTAGCCGGCATGATCGAGGCCTCCTAGATAGGGTCCGAATAGATGGGGTCGGAAGATCACGCCGCACTGCCAATGTATCATCGATGCATCGGCGATGCATCGGCGGCGTTGGCGATGCACCGGCACCATCAGCAGAGGGAATCCCCGCATTGAGACGCATCGTCGATGCATCGGCGATGTGGCGCGATCCTCCGACCCCATCTGCTCGGACCCCATATGGGAGGCACATCCAATCGGTCGGAAGGAGTAGGTCGAAACATGAAGTAGGAAGGCGTTGAACACAGCTTGGGTGTCCGCCCGCCCCCTCGGGAGGACGGAAAAGGTGAAGCCACTCGGTCACTGCAGCAAGACATCGCTTGAAGCAGACTGGAAGCTGCGTGACCGATGGCTACATGTGAGAGCTCGTTAAGAAGCTGTGCGGGAGCGGCTGCCGGACCAGGGCGGTCTGGGGCTCCCCGTCCCCGGCGTGGGGCTCTGCCGTGGTCCTCCCTTCTCACTTCCAGGAGAGCCCTCGAGCGAAGCGCCATCAAGGGAACAACAACGAAAGCGAGGCAAGGTCTGGCGATATCGCGGCGACAAGAATACAGCATCCGCTTCCCAAAATGAGCCAGAAGCGCTGTCGGTCTTCGTGCCCGTTCTCTCCATACCCAGTTCGATCGTACCGATCGAACCATCTGGCGCAACGTCTTCTGGGGCCTCAACCTCAACTGCCCTCGACTGCCCTGATCACTGCCTCAACTGCCCTGATCCACCCGTGTTGACACGCCGCCCATGCCGTGTGCAAAACCTCCATGTTAGACATGTTGCGCGCCAAACTTACGTTTTCAATCTACGTGTTGACCTCCGTGCCAACACGCTCCGAGGTGAGTGTTGCGTACCCAAACATTTGGCGTCTCGATCTTTTCGAAACAAACATGGGCCCCCGACCTCTCGACCACTTCCCAAAATCCGGTTCTGTTTCATCCCAAATCATTTTTTGACGGCCCCGAGGCCCGGTGAGGGCCCCGAAAGGCCGCAAACTATCCAAAACCATTGTCCATGTGTTTTCGAGACGCTGTATTTCTGGGTACCCGGACCTCCGACGTCACGATTTTGGTTTATAACGTCGACCCCCAGAGGTCTCCACCCATTCCCCGGGACTGGCTTTTCATCCTGACTCGTTTTTTGACGGTCCCGAGGCTCGGCGAGGGCCCCCAGAGGCCGAAAATGGAGAAACACCTTCCGCTGCAATTTTTTATGACTCGACGGGGTCTGGGTATCCGGGCCGCTAATGGCAAAACCTTTCATTTTTAACCTATTCAAAAAAACGGTTTTGCATTCTGGGGCTCTCGACAAGCCAAAACGGGTAAAATAATGCTGCGAGTTTGCAGCGTTTGTTTACGTAAGTTTTCTGTCAAACAGGAATGGGAATGTTCAGGCCCGTCGCTATGGACCTCTATTTTTTGTGTGCCGTTTTTCGCTTTCTTGCCAAAAGCTGCTCCTTGTCTTCAAATGCCGTCTTCGCCCCCGCTCCCCCGTTCCTGCCACACTCCGTTCCTCCCGCTCAGCGCGCAAAGCGCAGAACTAAACACGCCTCACAAACGCTCTAGCACCCGTCCAACACCAGCGCCGAAGAGAGTCTCCGCGACCAGCCAGGAGCGACGACCAGAGAAGATCAAACGGAGCATGAAAAAACATAGCGGGGGCTGCACGCAAGGAGAAGGAACTGAGGACGTGGTAGACAGCAGTTCTAAACATCGCAATCAACATATCGTAAACGCTTGAAAAACAGTGGAGCTCCAAACGCAACTACATGCATCGTTGTCTGGCGTTCTAAATTTTCCTGTCAGGACCTTTAGAACGCTAGAACTATATTTCCAACACTCTGAAACAAACCAATAAACAGAAAAACACGCCCAGGGCATATTCACCTGGGGCGCGCAAACATGGATCGGGAGAGGTGCCCTCCCCAAAATGCGGCCGGCGCCGCCCCCTTCGGCGGCGGAAACCCGCGCTTTCCCACGAAAACGGGACCCGTCGCTAATCGCCGCCCCTTGATCCAATGTTTGCGATCGCCTGATTCAAGCACCTCGCCGACACCGCTACCCCCTCGGACCTCTCCCAGGGTGCGCTCTGACCAGCACCCAGAGATCCGATGTCGTGGTTTTTGCAATACAAGGTCTCCAGAAGCCTCGACCCGTTCCCCAGGACCGGTGTTTTATCCTCATTCGTTGTTTGACCTTATCATGGCGCTGATTTTCTCTATCCGCGGACTAGTGGGTGGTGGTGCGCGTGCGTGCGTGCGTGCGTGTGTGCGTGGTTGTGGTGGTGGTGGTGGTGCTGGTGGTGGTGGTGGTGGTGGTGGTGGTGCTGGTGGTGGTGGTGGTGCTGCTGCTGCTGCTGGTGGTGCTGCTGCTGCTGGTGGTGCTGGTGGTGGTGGTGGTGCTGCTGCTGGTGTGGTGGTGGTGGTGGTGGTGGTGGTGGTGTGTGTGCGTGTGCGCGTGTGCTGTGGCATGGCACGGGAAATGACGCCAGCGCTGCAGCGGGAGCACGAGTCGAAACGGGCGGAAGCGCGGAAATGAGGCCAGCGCTGCAACGGGAGCATGATTCGGAACGAGCGGAAGCACGGACATGAGGCCAGCGCTGCAGCGGGAGCATGATTCGAAACGAGCGGGGCCCGAAAATGAGGCCGGCGGCTCGGCGAGAGCAGCATTTCGAAAAAAACACAAGCGAAAACCCGTTTCCCGGGAATCCTGTGCGGAAAAAACAATACGCGGGGGGGTGTCGGATATCTTCGGGACGCCATCAGGGGAAGTGGGAGAGTATTTTCATATTGTGTAATTGTGGAGGAGGAGGAAGAGGAGGAGGAGGAGGAGGAGGAGGAGGAG